CTTGCTTCCTTGCTTCCTTGCGCCTAATTGTTCACTCCCAAAAAATGAACTTTTCACTTAAATGAAATCGTCCTCTCCCACTTGTCACAGGAGTACGGCAGAAGAAGGCGAAAGCTCTACGGAATCACTTCCCGAGTCTGAAGTGGATTCCAATGCAGAATCTTGCCACTCTGAATTTCGCTCCGATCCAGAGGGAAAAGACAGTGGAATAGAGAAAGGAGAGTCTCCTAATCTCCTTCACCAGGACATCAACGACGAGGATGAAGTCGAAGCCATGTCAGAAGACGATGAAGCAATCCCCGAAAAACCCAAGCAAGACGCTCTAATTTCAGTGCTCAAAAACTCCAGACTTGCCGCCAAAACAACACTCCAAGTGATGAGCCCAGCAATCACCAAAAAGCGCTTTGCGAAAAGAGGGAAAATTCCCAGAAGATTAGCCAAGGAGAATTCAGGATTCGACTCGGAGCAGTCCAACGATAGCTCTCCAGAGAAAAGATACAGAGGAAAAAAGAATATGACAGTTAGCTACCTGAGTTATCCGCAGAGATATGTAAGAAGTTCGTTGGCTGTGGAAGCGAGGTTGTCGCAATGGCGCAAGGAAACGTCTGTGGTCGAGGGAAGGGACTCAACAGCTACGAGAAAGCTGAAACAGACGGCAAGAAACACCCTGAGGAATTCAATGGATCAAAAACGTGAAAAGTTTAAAGGTATGAAAGTTTGATGGAATATAAATGTTACCTTATTATACTTCATGTAAGTATCATGTAAGGTATAGTGATCGTGTGTTCAAAATTTTGGAAAAAAGAAGGAAGGAAGGATGGAGTAACAAACGAAAGAAGGTAAGACTGACGAAAGAAAGAAAAAGGATGGATAGACGGAAAAAAATGTATAGATATATGTCTGCACTCATGGACGTATGGATGAGTGAATGGATAGGCAAATGAATGAATGGATGGATTACGGATGGATGAACGGTTGCATGGTTGGGTGAACGAGTGTTTGGACAGACGGACGGGTGGATGAATATCAAATGAAAAGATGGGTGAATGGCGCGCGTAGCAGAGCAGAGCAGAGGAGGATAGAGAGGACAATGGATAAATAAATGGTTCACAAATGCGTTCGTGGTGCTTTCATGAATGAGACGTATCACGAGTGAGTAAGTGCGCGCGCGGGTGTTCGACTAAGTGTCTGAAATCAGAAATCATTACTTGCACGATCAAGAGATATGGAAGCATAAAGACGAAACAAAACGAATTACAGCGACGACAATCATTTTAGCCAATGACTAGAACACGACTAAATGTCTAGTTTCTTTTGTGTAAGCCCTGTGATGGGTTGGAGTTCAACGTGTAAGTGTTGTCAACGACTTTTACTACAGCGACAGGCACCTTTTGAATTCTACTACAGACTTTGTTGACTTGTTGCATGACGTACCTTGTTTCCTTCAAAACGTAAGTGTCGTCATGTTCTTTTTATGTGTTGTAATTGTAAATAATCATCTGACCCTTTTCTTTACCACGACCAATCATCGACCAAAGTTGGTCAAACCAAACAAAACAAAGTTAACATGACAGACAGATCAAAGTTGAAAATGTTGTGTGATAAGGAATTTAGGGGTTTGCGAATTTGTACGGTTATCGCATAGATATGATCGAGCAAAGTTGGTCAAATCGAAAAGAAGTATTATTAACAGATCATAGAACAAAAGAAGGGTTTAACATGGGGTGTACTTTGATTTGCAAAACAATTTTTGCGGTTTTATGGTTGTGCACACATTTTTCATAAGATATTTACTGTTCTTGATTTCAATTCTGTCTTTATTAAATGCTACGTTTGTTGCAAATAGTAAAATAGCAAATAGACAAATCTAATAGTATTTTTTGCCTTATTTTCTCTCTCCCTCTTGCGCCTTCTCGCGCCCGCTCTCTCTCTCTTTCTCTCGTTTTCAAATCAATCGTTCTAGGCAAGAACGTCAACTTCTCCGAGAGTCGACGAGCCAGCGAAAGCAGCGACACATCAAGCGACGAAGATGTAAATCAGATGTCAGTCAGGAAGATCTACAACAGCAAAAACGCACTGAGGAGAAGAATAGAGAACTTGGAAGGTAAGCTGCAGTCAATGGCCGTGCAGAAAGAAGGGCTGGAGAACCTTGTCTTCATCATGAACGTGTGGGCGAAGGAACTGAGCGCAGTGGAAAGGACTAAACTTGGGGTGCCATATATTCGCTCAATCAAGCAAGTGCTCAGTAAGTATTACGTGCGGTGCGCATAAAGTAAAGTAAAAAAATCTAATTTTGATACCCAGGAACATAAGCCAAAGTTCACGAGGAAAAGAAAGAAAAATAAACTGGAAAAAATCCACTTTGCCTTAACCCCGAGGAGTCGTACGATGGCGTCATTGACCTCTACTACAACCGGGCAGACTCCCTTGTACACTTTCTTTTGCTCAGTTACTTAGCACCAATTGTCTTTCTATTCTCTAAGTTACGGACACACGGTGCAACATTGCATGCACCCTTGCACGCAACAGGGTTGTTGCAGCGTGTGTCTACCCCTGAAACTTGTTGTATGCAACAAATCTGAAGTTGATTCGCGCTCTACTCTTGCAACATTGCGAGCACTGAGCAAATTTTATCGTGTGAACATGGCTGCAACATTGCGTGCAACATTTTGAAATTTCCAGCCAATCAGCTTTGCACCAAATTTATAACTGCTGACCAAATATCTTAGCATAGCAGGCGATGTTTTGTTGCAATGTGTGTCACCCCGATTCAAATTTGTTGCTTGCAATGTTGCGTGCGATGTTGCACCGTATATCAGTACCTTTATGGTAGTGGGAGTCAAATGACTCATCATGCAACGTCCTATAAGTCCAATCATCAAGCCTTGGATGAGAAGAATTACGCAAGAAAATAAATAAATACACACATATATCATGTAGATTTAAAAGTCATATTTTTTTATAGAGAGACATCACCAAAGTCTAAACAGCAGAACGAGCGACTTTGGAGAACTCTTGGCTCTCCTTGGCAGATCCAAAATACCGTGTTTTGATGATATCCACAAGATGGTCAAACAACTGAATAAAAACATAACGAGTATCGTCCAAGATCGAAAGAAATACAGCTCAAGGCATATTGAAGACCTGAGGCAGATTCARGGCAAGATCATTGGCATTTGCAGTGCTGTGAAGGCTGTTTATTATGAGGAATAGAGTGGATTTGGTTTTGCTTAACATTGCTTAGTATTAACGTCGCATTAGTTGTAGTTTTTAAAAAAAATCCAGTTAAAGTAACATAAATTTAAAGTTTTTCATATCAGGGGGAAACAACTGGTTATGCGTTTATAGTAATCCTATACGAAATATTATATGAACCAAACAAGTTACACCCCCGGATTTGCGCTTGAACGTGGCTTTGGTGCGGTTATGCCAACTAAACAGTTATCGAAGAGCTCCAATCTTCTGCCTTTTGTTTCGATTCAACTTTGACGAGAAATCAATCGATCTTCCATGTCAAAATAATGGCTGCGAAGAGACTGTGTAAGAGCAAAATTTATGCAATTAAAAAATAAATACATAAATAAATACATAAATTACAAATAATCATTTTTTGTTAGAAATAATGACAAGAACAAAAACAATACAAACAATTGATATTTAAGTTTTAAATAAAATTGCTGTTAAAAAATAAAGATGAAATAATTTAATCATTACATGGTGATGTTAATAACGGTAGTAATCTTGCTTTTGGTATTTTAAAAAAAGAAAAATTAAATGTTGACAATAATTATGACTGGTGTGCTAAAACTTTCAACTTGTTCCCGTATCCAACTGCTCGCGAAAACCGCTAAGATATAGCGAAAAGCAGGCGTAATTGTAGGCGACATTTGGGCGAAAACCGAGGTTTTGAGGGAACTTTGAAAATGTGGAACGGGCGAGATTTCTTTACTATGTTCCAATTTTCTCGCGGGTGCGTAGTTGAAACAGGGCTCCAAAACCCCAATTTCTTATTTACGAGTCTTCCCCAAACCTACAAGAACGCCTGCGTTGTAGGCTAAGCGAAAAATGTTCCAAATGATTTAACCTCGAAATGAATTAGAACTTTGATGAAAATAACTTCTATTTAGTGTGACTAGTGTCGGTCTGTTGTGCGGGAGGTCGTGGTTCACGCCTCGGCCGGACCAGCACTCAGGGTCTTAAAATAACTGAGGAGAAGGTGCTGCCTTCGTAATTACATCTGCAAATGGTTAGACCTTCAAATCTTCTCGGACAAGGACTTAAAACCATAGGCCCTGTCTCCCAACCCTTCCTAACCAACAGTAAATGGGGGACATTAAAGAACCAGTTGAATTATTCTTATAAGAGTAGGGGATTGTCTCCCGGTTCAACAGCCTATCCCAATCTGGAGGCATAATACTAACTTACTAACAAATCACTCATGATTGTAAGCTGCACGGCTGCTACTAGCACCTAAATACGAAGCCCGTAAAGTCCTCCACTGGTCATGATTGTGAAGCGCATTGAGACCATGTAAAATGTGCTATATAACAACCCCGTTATTATTAGTGCCGTGTGCGGCGCAAAGCGGCGCAGGATAAGTTACTTACCGGTCAGCAGTAGATGCCATTAGTTCATCCCGCGAGGGACTAGAACCGATATTAGCAAATCCAAGATGGCGGACGAGAGTAAAGAAGAAACAGAAAGAGAAATCCCTGGAATTGTAGACTTACAAGCCTTTTCTCAGGTAAAATAATAATTTATAGCCTTAGTTACATTCCATATTTATATACTCGTTCAATTAATTAACCCTACAAGCTGTTTATTGGTTATGTTTTGATAATTTTGTTATGGAAGACAACGAGACGAAGCAAAACACGTGAGGACATGTGGTCGAATTCACAATGTTTTTAGCATTCCATTTTGTTCGATTGCCAAATTGCAAATCTATTTGCATCCAATAATACCGGGCCGTAAGCACACCCAAGAAGTGTAATGAAAAGCACAAGCACAAGACGAATGGAGCCCGAAAAAGAGCTGCTTTCTTTCTAATTAATTGTGTATAGTAAACAGTTACAACAGTTAAAAAACAGTTTTTATTTCCACGAAACATATACATAGATGAATTGAATAAGTTATAAATATTGTGGGGGATGCAAGAGAACAACCTCAGAGGTTAAACAAGCTCTTACACCCTTCAAACGAACATGAGTAATATTTACATATGCGTAAGATGGAAGGAATCATATAGTACAGTTAATCATATAGTTAATCAACTAGAAATTTAATAAAATAATATAAACGTACAGGAAAACAAAAAAAAATCAGTAGTTTGAAACAAGAGGTCATAACAACATTATGAACTCTTGATTATGTAGAGGCAGATAAAAAAATCATGATTTGAAAATGTGATTTGCGAAAAACAATTGAATAATTAAATGTTCTTAAACTTAAGAACATATAAGCTTATATATAATGTTCTGCACATATGATATTCCATTCAATACTCCTTTTTACAGTTCTGTTAATAGTGACCACCCATAATAGTCCTAAGTCGAGGTTGGAGTTGACTAGCATAAGCAAATATATAGTTTATCATGCGCAACTCCAACCTCGACATAGAACTTTTGTTCATGGCCACTGAACGGAGCTGTAAAGAGTATTTACTGCAGTTGTCAATGTAGCGTGAACTTTGTATTTGAGAGTTCCCAGTTGGAATTTGATTTTGCACTGCTAGCCAATCAAAAATATAAAAGGTACTGCCAGCACTGTAACTGATTATTTTTGATTGATGTAACTCATTGCAGCATGCAGCTTTCAAGCCGAGTTAGTGCACAATGTAATATTGAAAACTACTATGATAAAACTGATGTTGAATTATTTCTTACTACAGAAAGCCCTGCGATATCTAGTTGGCTGTACTCAGAAGGCCAATGCTCTACCAGGCCCGGGAGAAGACCATGATTTCTACTACAGCTTTTCAGATTTTAGAGAATTCAGAAAGGCTCAAGGAACAAGACTATTACACAAGTGAGAATAGTTACACATCGTACATGTATTCTTCGTTTGCACGTTATGTCATCGCAGCCATGTTGGTACCATTTAACAAAAGATTTCTCATTAGCATCCATTGTTAATGGTACCACAATGCCCGCCATGTTYTTGTCTTTTAACTCTCTTGGGAATGCTTGCAACCCATCAATTAGAAGTGTTGTCCACCTATGACTGAAGAATTGAAGTTTATTTTTTGGAGAGGAAGGAGTTTAACATGAAAAAATGAAAGAAAAAGCACAGGAGAGAACCAACAAACGACTTGACTCAAGTCACTTAAGATTGCAGGTCCTAGGCTAAAAAAACACTTCGGTAGTGACACTGAACACTGACATTGCATAAAAAGTCAGCACAACCTGTGCTTAAATCTTTAAATTCTTCCACTGACACTATAGGCCTATTCTGAGTTCTATGAACACTATACATCGTGGTCTGGCTTGGGTACCTATTAATCAACACTATACACCGTTCTCATAATGGCTGACAAGTGCACCAAAACGAGGTCACCCAGTCAAGGCGGATAGTGCGAATTCAGGTCAAAACAAAAAGTCAATTTCTATACATTTCTTTACTTTCCTTCTATAAATGCATTTCATGTGCTTTTATATCTTCTATTGTAAACTAATGACTGTTTGACCTCGTTTTTCGTGCACTTGTCAGCCATTATGAGAATGGTGTATAATAAAGGCATGATGACCAAAAGATGTTTGTACCAAAGCTAGACCACAATGCATCATGTTCGCTATCTCAAAAAAGGTCTTTAGAATCTATATCTCATTTTTTAAATAAAATATACATGAAATTATGCTCGATCTAATTGTTGAACAAAACAGTTCTTGTGATAACAATAAGAAATATTTCCTTATTTTAGGACCAGTGATTTGTTAAGACATTTTCATATCCAATGTGGATGGCCTAAGAAAGGACAGTCTTCCGACAGTATTGATCATGAGGATTTGTTTGAAAACCTCGTGGAAGCCAATGACATCATCCTTGAGGAAGTGGTAAGGTCATCCCTCTGTTCTTAATTGAATTGCCCTATTTCACTATGACGTCACATCAAAACAATCTATTATTTAAACACAAAGGATCATGGTCGTCGGACGGGGTCAAATCAACACAAATTCACCAAAAATTGTCCTAAAACCCGTATCAATCCATGAAGAGAAGTAGAATAGCCAGCAAACACTCAGAATATTTTTTGTTGAATTTTCTATTGGATTTGGCGATTCTATCCCCCACATAAACAAGCAGTGACGTCATAGTGAAATAGGGCAATTCTTTACTGCATTTTATTTTCTGTCCCCCCATTTGTCTAAAGATAATCTAACAAGCTTTGACTGTTATGGGCTACCTTTGGGTACAGGCAGCCCAAGACAACATAATTTAGTAACCAAAAAATCTAATCAGCTTTAGCTGTTGTATCAAAACATACTAAGAGAATCACAACAAAGCTAGGCTCCAACTAAGTGCAAGACCAAGATCAAATTAGGATTTAGAAGTTGGTATTTATAATAAGAAGAGAGGTTGTTGAAAATAATGACAGGATGTCATCAAAACGTCCAGCAATAGACCTATCCCGAATTCGCTTGACTGACCACGAAACAATGGTTTGAAGTCAAGATTGAACTTGATTCTTTTATTCATCAATTTCAACCTCGACTTGAAACCATTGTTTCGTGGCCAGTCAAGCGAATTCAGGATAGGTCTATTCTTGCATTTATTTTCTTAATCAAATGTTTATCAAGATCCAAACTGAGAGAGGAAAACCCAAGAAAATCCTCGGAGCACAGTAGAGGACCAAATAACTCTACTCCCATACTGTATGACACCAAGCCCAGGAAAGCTAAAATTACATAAAAAATTGAATTAATTTACCATGTTTTAATTATTTTTACTTATTTATGGTTTTGCAGGACACTAAATTAGATGAAGCATCAGGTTTAAGCAAGAATAAAAAACCAGTAATGAATGAGTCAGTCAAACAAAGCAAACCTGTTGTATCCAGTTGGAATCGCCGCAGTGTAAGTTATTTTCTTTCTTTTAAATGTGAACTTACTGTAGCTTGTTAGGATTTGGGTGAGGGAGGAAAACTAGATAATCCAGAGAAAAACCCATAAATCAAGGGAGAGTCTTAGCGAGCTCTACTCACATGTGATGCTGAACCTAGAAATCAAACCTGAGACCCCAGAAAATACCAGATGAGCGGTGAATTTTGTTTCAGCCAATCACAGCATGTTAAGATGTTTCGCCGCCGGTCCTCATTCACATGCTACTGTACTGTAACCCAACTTTTGCATATTTTTCTGTTTTCTTTTGACTAAAATATAATATACGTGCCTATAAGAAGCAGAAGTATGGAAAGGAAGAATGAAAACAATTTCATTTTACCACCACATTTGCTCCGTTCTTTCAAGCTCCAAAATTGCTTAGGGCCAGTCATTTTGTCCACTCATGCTTTGCACGCTGCGTTCACCGCTCAGCTGGCAGTACGAGAAGTACGTGTCTACTGCTAAAGCTCTATTGATTCTCATAATCTAGTCAAGAGCTTCACTGTTTTATACACCTCATCTCCCATGGCATTAGCACATGACACAGCATTTAATAATTTATATCATGCTATAATATAGTTTATTAATTGACACACTTTGAATTAATTGATACTGTAGCATGGTGGTGTTAAAGACAGCCCGGTACGCTTGTTGTTGGCCAAGAATATTCTACGTCCTCAGATAAAGTTCAAGGATAAAATAGATAACTCCAACTCACCTTTTGTTCCAATCATTAAATACAAGCCCAATGCAATCAAGAAACTTCAGATCTGTGAGTATTTTAACATTATCATCATTGTCATCATCATCACCATCATCACTGTTACCATATCTGCATCGTCATCGTCATCACCGTCACGATCATCTTCATCAACATTATCATCATCATCATCATCATCATTACCATCATCTTCATAATTATCAATATTATCACCATCACTATCTTCATCGTCATCGTCATTATCATCAACATCATCATCAACATCGTCATCATCATCATACCATCACCATCACCATCATTACATCATCATCTTCATCATCATTATCATCATTGTTAACATCAGATTATATAATTACATTTTAGTTTGGGGGTGGATGAGAGGAGAGAAATTTAAGAGGAAAGGAGAAAAGAGAAAAGAGGAGTCAAGTGGAGTGAAGTGGGGGGAAGACATGACTGGAAGAGAGAAAATGGGAGGAACCTAGGCAAGTGTAGAGAATAAGAAACAAGATAAGGATAAAGAAAAGGAAATGAGATGAATAGAGTGTATCAACATTGATATTCAATTGCTTTTCCAACAAGACTTGTTAGTATAAACTTTTCTTTTCCATACATGTAGATACCCCATCATCTCCTCAACCAGAAGACCTCAGCATACCAACTGCTATAGCAGACTTTGTTCACCAACAGAGGATGATTAGTAATACTACGACTAATAGGTAAAGACAGTGTTTTGGGGTTTTTATTTGGGATTGAAAATAGTGCAATGTGTAGTTCCAGAAATTATCCATACCTCCCTCACGAAGGAAGACCCTCCCTACCTCTGGAAATTCCAATTTTCTTCCATAAATACTCTGTTGTAATTTTGTTCTTTCTCTAATCCCCCACCCCTTGGAAATTCCTCTGTGGGTGGGGTATGGATAATTTTTGGAACTACACAATACACCTAAATCCAAAATGGGCCAGGGCCATCCAGGGCCAAATGCAAAGAAATAATATGGTGTCAATGCAAAGCATACACTTGTTTACTTATTCTGTCTTCCATTTCTTCTTACATTCAGGAGCACGACAGTTTTGCGCAATACAATTATAAGAAAATACTGTAAATTTGTAAATTTGGCCCTGGATGCCTCGTTTTCAACTGGCCATGCGCCATTTTGGATTTAGGTATATGTAAATTGCTTGCTGAACTCAAATATTTCATTTTGAAGAAATCAATCCATTTATTCATTTTATCCATAAATGTTTGTGTGCAGGATTTGTCATCCATATCAGCATGAGCTAGAGGTGTTTGAACCACCAGAAAACCAGTTAAAAGAGGCAAAAGAAGAGGTAAAAGATGAAATGCATTGATCATCTCATTTTATTTTATGGGCTACCTTTGGCCACAGGCAGCCCAAGACAACATAATTTAGTAACCTAACTCTAGTAAACTTTAGCTGTTGTATCAAAGCGTGGGACAATCAATAACTGCTGTAGTTGAAAGCCCAAGTATCAAATTGGAATTTAGAAATTGACTTTTGAAGAGGGATGAAAACTGGAGAACCCAGAGAAAAACCTTTCGAAGCTCAGGAGAGAAGCGACAAGCAACTTTACCGGTACTCACATACAACACCGTGACGGCAAGACTTGAACCTGGGTTGCATTGGTGCTTCCCAAAAGTTTGCAAAAGGTTGCTAAAATTCAAACGAGGCAAGAAGGATGTAAAAGATCTGATGAATTTGTAATCTCATTTTCACTTACGGGCTACCTTTGGCCACAGGTAGCCCAAGTCCTTGAAATGTAATTAATCATCCAAAGTTTCCTTATATTTCTTTTATTGTGTTCAGTTATATAAAGGCCTGGAAGAGACACCCTATACTTATGTAGAAACTGTTGAACAGCTTGAGGAACTCTGTCAAAAACTTTCCAGTGTGACAGAATTCGCAGTGGACTTGGAGGTACTGTATAGTGTATTGAAGAAAACATGAGTGTGTGCTGTGTGCAGTTATAAAGATCGCAGAAATTGACAGAACATGGGAGAAGTGTTCTAAAGGAAAAGCACAGCACATACTGTAGTAGACTTTCTTCTACCAATTCCCCAGAGCTTTATATCATAGAATAAAGTAACAAATCATAAAATAACTGTTCTAAATCTCACGTTCTGATTGGTTGGGAGCGCATGCTTTGAGAGCACACAGCACGCGCTCACTTTCAGTTGCGTCATTCAGGTAATTTGTATTTTATAAAAGAAGAAAAAAACTTGCTTGCTGGGCTGTGTGGAGCTATAAATCACTTGGGGATTGGCAGAGTACTAGAGAAGATCACTACATGTCATGCTTCTCCTAACACTTCCCTTGTGTTCTATAAACCCCCTGGTGCTTCATAACTGCACACAGCATGCGTGAGCGTTTCTATTTCTTCAATAGAATAGCTGTAATTTTGGATATGAATGATGAAATAGAAAGTCTGCTTGCATCAATGCTGTATGCTCTCATAAACAATGTTCCACAACCAATCAGAAAGCAAGGTTTATAAAGTTATGTTTGTTTTTATTGATGAGGATCAAAAACACAATAGAATATCATTCACCCAGGAGAACGAGAATTTTTTGTGACGGCAAGAATGTTTTTATTTTTTACTGATTAATCTTTGCAAGCTTCATGACACATCAGTTTTGCAGTGCGTCACTTTCTCATATCAGCTGGTAACAACTGATCTTTTTTAATTTCTTCCCACACAGCATCATTCATACAGATCATTCCAAGGATTTGTTTGTCTTATGCAAATATCAACCAGGGATCATGATTATCTTGTTGATACTCTGGAGCTGCGCAGTGACTTGAGCATCTTGAATGAATCGTTTACCAACCCTAAGATACTCAAGGTGAGTCCTTTTGGTTTTCTATTGATGGCTGAATTGGGGGGTATATAATATATGCTATTGTGACTACTATGAACCATGGTCATCATCATCATCATCATCACACAACCATCATCATTATCATCATCATCATCATCACCAACACCACCATCACCACTACCACCACCATCATCATTATCACCACCACCACCACCATCATCATCATCACCACCACCATCATCACCATAAACATCATCATCATCATCATCTGCAACAGTCCACTTCCTGTCACCCACCACACTGAGTAATCAGTTGAAATTAGGTACCACCTCCACCTACCTGGACAATGCTTACAATGACATGGGAGCGGAGGGAGGGGCAAATATTTAGATCCACTACCATCTGCTATGTTTAGAGTCTTTGATCCACTAGGATCAGCCAAAAATAGGGCAAAAGATTGGATACCCCTGCAAATCCTTCTGGGTCCCATATGCATCAACTGCTGCTACGTCGGGCAAGACTGCTAGCTAGCACTTTCTCWATTTTAGCTTCATCTTAATTATATTTAGCCTTATTACAGTGCAAATTGAAAAACTGTGGGCACCAAGAAATATTTCAAGAATGATTCTTAACCAATCAGAAGTGTTATTGTTATCTTTCCATTATCTTGTGGTTAGAAAGTCAATTCTGATTGGCCAAAGAACAATAGAAAATTCCTGGAATATTTCCAAGTGCCCACGGTTTAATTCACACTGTAAATGTCAAAATTATTTAAAATTATTTACTTCTTATTGCCCATTTATACAGGTTCTTCATGGTGCCGACATGGACATTGGATGGTTACAGAGGGACTTTGGATTGTACATTGTTAACATGTTCGACACTGGCCAAGCATCAAGAGTTCTAAACTATGAACGATTCTCACTGAGTTATCTACTGAAGAAATTCTGCGGAGTGACAGCTAATAAACAGTATCAGTTAGCCGACTGGAGAATAAGGTAACAATAGCTAGGGGAGCATTGCTGGGTGTGGGAGTGTACCCAGCCTACCTGCCAAGGTATTGCTGGGGTTCGCTTAATGTCATTTAATAATATTATAATGATAAAATAGTAATAATGGGATTAATAGTAGATTCCACAGAGTGGCTCTTCTTCCACTGGATTCCAATTGGAATTTAGAAGTTGATTTTTGCGGAGGGAGGAAAGCAGGAGAACCTGGAGAAAAACCTTTAAAGCACAGGAGAGATCCAACAAACAACTCTACTCAAATACGACACTGAGCTCAGTGGGACTCAAACCCTGATTGCATTGGTGAGAGGAGAGCGCTCTCACCACTACACCACCCATGCTTCCCATTTCCTGTTACATATGCTATGTTCATCAGCTGCATTACAAGTTTTCAATAGAATTCTTTCTGGTTGACAGCACATTGTGGTCAGTGTTTGACCACCATTTGAAGAAGATATTGAGATTTAAAGACTTTTATCAGCTGAGTGAAAGGCAGCAATAGGCCGTGCAACCCAAATACATTTTTATGTAGTTTAAAAGAGTAGATATTGGGGGAAAAGACACTAAACACCTTAAATCCCACTGAAACCTTAACAAGCAGCTGGACAATGACAAACAACCATAGCAAATTACATATTCTATATTTTTATCATAACTTGGCCATACATTATAAACAACATAAAGGAACCTTGTTTTTGCTCCCTGTTAAAATAGAAACTGGTCTTCCTGTGTTTTAATATTTTTTCATTTCAATTTTTCAATTTTATTTTCTTCTCAGACCTCTACCTGCAGAAATGATCCAATATGCAATAGAGGACACTCACTATTTATTGTACATTTATGACCGGCTACGTAATGAGCTCATCAAGAGTGGCAATGCTCAGAATAATCTGTTGATGTCAGTGTATCAAAGGAGTAAAGCTGTTTGTTTGAAGGTATATGCTTTTGAGAGATCGTGAGGGAGTTAAGGGTGGTGTAGTGGTAGTGCCCTCACCCCTCACCTCTGGGGTCTCAGGTTTGATTCCTGGACTCAACATCACATACATTAGTGAACCAAGGGTGGTGTAGTGGTAGTGCACTCACCTCTCACC